TGAAATAAGACAAAACAACAATTCCAAAAACATCTTCTAGTTCTCTCTTCTCAACCCTTTATCTCTATTCATCATTAGCTAAACTGGGATGAGAGTTTTATTATGAATGCAAAATGCAGCCTTTGTTTATCCCAAAGGTAGTGAGTCTGGGTTAGGTTTGGGAAAACCTGGTTTGAATTTTAGGTGAACCTCCTTTCTACTCTCAAATGCCAAGAGAGGATTTATAGTTTCAGGTGGATATCAAATGAAATTTGGTAAGTTCATCCGAGTTTTACTTCGAGTTTGTCATTTGAATGAGCTCAAATTTCATACAGCCTAATCCTTATATTTACAGTTTTTCTGCCATTTTCACCTCAGTTGATTAAAAAAATTTTAAGAAAAAATTGAGACATACTGTTTCATATGTGAACAAATTGCAATATAATAGAATGCATGAATTCCTTTGTCTCAATAATAAATAATTATGAGAAAAGTAACGTATTTTTTTGGTAACATGCTTTAATGAGTCAAGCTGTTTTTGCAGAATATTCTCCTTTATTTACTATTGCGTTTATTTGCCATGAAATTCTAAATTGACCAAAAGATAATTAGAAAAATTGTCTATTGCTATGAACACTTAAAGATCTGCATTGCATCATCTTTTATCCCTGGCTCAGTTAAACAGACTCTAAAATCAAATTTGTGTAATTTAAGCTTTCTCCATTTTTGCAGAAGTCAGAAGCCCAGACTTTAAGCTAGCTAATTTTCTCAAATTATATGCTAGAGGTTTAGGAAGATTTAAAGGTATATCGTTTATGTCAAAATGATAGGTTCACAGTTTGTGATTGATGATCTTGTACCTATAACTGTTGTATGCCCATTAGATAAAGGGGCCTTCTGGGATGAGATTAGACAAAAGTAAGCTTAGAGAAATTTCTAAATCCTACGTTTGTAGAGATGTAGGTAACATGCTCCCAGTTTTTGTTTGATTATATGACAAAATAATATTAGATAACTTACATATAGAGATTAATGTATCAATGAACTGTGAAGAGTTATTTGCCTAAAACTGCATTTTTCACTTCAACAGTGAAGTGGAAGCTTTGTAGTTACATTATACCAAATATCTACTTTTTAATTTAACTAAGCAAAGTTATTCTAGGATAATTTTTTTCTTAAGGAATGTACACTATATAAAATTCCCCCCAAATACTGCTAATACCTTTTCATAAGTCGACTACATTTCATACAACTTAAACAATTAAAACATGAAAACACAAAAAAGTTATGGGTTTTTTCTTCTTCCAATTTGTAGTCCCAAAACTACTGCTGATAAAAATAAACATTATAACATCTTTGAGAATCTCAAAGAACCCTGGTCAAGATTTTTTTGGCTAGAAAAGAAAGCAGTTTTGATATTCAAAAATTTGGCCTCCCTTAGTCAATCCCCAAAAGGGAAAAATCAGCTAATCTTAGCAAGATGGTAAATTTAAGTGATTCTGTAATCTAACTTAGTCCTCAATCATATTTTAAAATATGATCAAACAGTAGGGACTGGGAAAAGACACGAAGTTTCAAAAATAACTCAAAATAGAAAAGTCAAGCATTTCTTTAAGAGGCTTTTATTTCTAAATTAGATTATGAATAGCATCTTACTGAAAAATAGCAGCATAGTTTGTGCTGGCACGTTCCACTTAATGGCAACAACAACAAAAGTTCACTGAATGTATTCTCCTACCAGATCATTTAAAACAGTACTAAACATCAGATTTTTGTTGGTCAAGCATTCCAGGTGTCATCCTAGAGAGCAAGCCAGCTAGTTGTGGACACATCTATACACAGGCATTAACATTCATGCAACATATAAATCTGCACGCATGTGCACACACATGCATATGCACACACAAACATATATACACAAAACCTGACCAGCCTCTGCTCTGGGTCCTTGATAACTCTGGCATATTGTAAACCCTGGAAAGAATTTTAATCTACATGGTTTGAAAATAGGGGCCTTTTAAATATGCTGCATACAATTTGTGATGGTCATCTCTAAAATGCTGCTCCATTATCCTTTCCCATTTGGAATGAATGAGGCTAATTAATTTCAGGCCATACTTGATGAGGTCAGCACCATACGAGGGGTGCGTGCTAGACATTGCTAATCTCTTTCAGCTGAGAGTGATGAATTAAAGATGAAGCATGCCTTTGCAGGCCTAATTTAGAATGTATATCAAAAAACCTACAGCAAATAATACTATACCCTACAACAAAGGAAAACTTGTTCTCTCAGGCTCCCTGAGTTGTGTTGATTTTAAAGACATTTTCAGTCCTCTTTGGAATTCCAGCTGTGGATGAGTGAACCATATCAAGAAAATCAAGCCATCTCTCACACACGGCCATGTGGACAAAAAGTGGGATTAAAGGAAAGAAAGAAGAAAACAAAAACAAAATACAACAATCAGGATTTGATCCCTTGTATATAAAAATTCCACCTACCCATTAGGCATTTTTTCCAGAGCTACCAGACAAACAAAGATCCCAAATTAGCAATACCTGTATTCAAGCAATGACCACCCAGCTCTGCTGGGACATTTTAAAGCAACATGCTAAATGAGGCAGCCTTTGTTTTTAAAGCAGATAATCCTAATGAGGCTCATTAAGTTTTTCCATGTCTCTATTTTGAAAGCCAATAGAGATTGACCAGGTAGATAATGTGATACCTTTTATGAAGCCAAGGAAGAAATTGTAATACAGATACCTCCAGGCCAAAATGTTCTTATGAAAGTTTATGTTAAGCCAACTTCTTACTTGTGAAAGTTGGGTAGTACTTGCTGATCTAAACTCTAAAGAAAAGAAATAATTAGTCATAATTTCACAAAGATGATTATTACAAGTCCCTATGGGTGGCAAGGAAGGTTGGTTAGCCTAGAGACTGGAGAAGATATCTTACAAAAAGTGTTTTAGCATATCTAGCAGAAGAAATACTGACAGGTTATTCTAATGCACTGGAATTTCCAACTGTTGGCCACAATAGCTCCTGACTTTGTATCCCAGTAGCCCTCATTAGGACAAAGCTGCTTCAAATTAGGTCCAATCTACATGCTGAATCAATCTTTCATCCCTTTGATTCCTTCTGAAAATATTTATATTTCTTAATAATGCACATTTTGTCTTGCAAAATCTGATTAAACGCAAACAGGGGTTCCCAAAGCAGGCAATGTGTGTGGAAGGGTGATTTGGGACAGGAAAAAGAGAGAGCGAGAGAGAAATATGGGTTTTTGCCCATTGAGGAACCATCAGAGAACATAAATCTAGCAATTTTGGTTATAGAAGCATCAGATGAAGTTTGTAATAAATACAGATTAGAGTATTATTGTGATCTAATGGAGATTACAGAATATTCTTATTATTGTGTGATTGTCCATTGCAGGTTCAACTATTTGGCTGATTAGCTTAATAAATTTTATGAAAAATTATTGTGGGAGAGAATTAGGAAAATTTCATTTTACAACCAGTAATAATCCACACGATGTATCACTTCCTAAAACAGGGAAATAGTTATAACAGAAATATGACCAGATAATCTAAAGAATGTTTATCGTTGAGGAAAGAGCACAGCGTAAAGGAGATGTTGTGGTGGGTTGGGAGGATTCCTGGTTTGGGAGGCAAAGAGACAGGGGTCCAGTTTCAACTGTGTCACCAATCAGGTAGGTGACCCTGAGTAAGTCCTCTAACCTCTGAAGACCCCAGGATTTTCTCCTTGCTTTTACCTAGAAAATAAGGGAGGTAAAGGTTTTCTTGCAGGTTTTTAATTCCATGGTTTTCTAAAGAATCACCATTGTTTTAAATACTCAGTGATTTCTGGAGGCATGAGAAAGAAAATGGAGACCTTATCTAATGCTGAGCTTCCTCAACGCCAGTCTCACCTCCTTGGAGACAGCTGTTTCTTCTCTGTTCCCCTCTTCTTTCCTCATAAAACATAAGTGAGAGAAGCACCCAAGAGCAATGTCCTTGGCCCAACCACCCAATTTTAAAGATGAGAAAATAAAGGCCAAGGAGGTTGAAGTTATCTACTTAGTAACTGGTAAAGCTAGAATTTACACCCACGTCTTCTGATGTATTTTCAAACCGGGGCTTATTCCACCATGAAGCACTGCCTCTGAGTCTAAGGGACTTTTATATTCCAAAAATAAGTGAGATTTCTTGTGACCATTCAGTACAATTCAAGACTCCTTGCAAGTGGAAACAGGAACACAGAATAGGGCAGTGGCTTTGAATTCACACTTCCTGGATTTGGATAACATGTCCCCAACTTTTAGCAATGTGATCTTCAGGCAGATCCCTAAGCTCCATAAGTCTCATTTTGTTTTGTTCCCATTTTTTTCCCCCTCTTGGATGATGGAAATAGTAGCAGCACCTATCTCAAAGATTTGTATAGAGATTAAATAATCTAACATATGTAAATGTTCACCATAGTTCTAGTACTTAGTATATTTTAGCTGCTATAATTATCATCATTTTCTTCTTCTTTATTTACATAATTACTTGAAATGAAAAAATCCTGAAAAGAACCTAGGAGAGATAAGTTCAAATTCTGACTGTACTCCTATTAGCTTCACGACCTCAGACAACTCTCTGAGCCTCAGTTTACTCATCAGCAAAATGGGAATTCAAAATATCTGCTATACAGGATTTCAGTAAAAATCTAACAAGTCATTCATGCAAAAATGCTTTTTACACAGGTAGGATCTTATAAAAACATAAGGATTAATAGTTTTATTAGAACATTATTATTCCTGGTTGGAAAGCCTCTGGATGCTTAGAGCTGTTTAACAGGTAACAGGAAGAGATAATGCCACTGTTTTGCTTCTCAAATAAATAAACTTAAAAATTAGATGTATAAAACATCATTACACTATAAAAGAATAAATGCATGTCCTCAATTATCCCTGCCATCCTTTTAATCTTATTGTACTATTTCTACCTAAACTGGCAGTTCTCTTATACTGTTATCTTACCAGAGCATTAGATGACTATCAGGTCGCAGGGATTAGGACAGCAAACCCACTCTCTTCTTTGCCTTCCAAGTAAAGGAGAGAAAAATCTAAAAGAAAAAGGACACATTTTATGAAATACTAAATGGTGACCTCCAAGAAGTTTTCATATCCTTATTAAAATACTGTCAAAGTTGGTATTGACCAGCTGTCCATTGTGTGTGAACTTAAAAATATATTCATTACTGAGATACAATAATTTTGTTTAAGCTAAAAAGCATCATGGGATGGGGAATTGTTTTGTGAGAGGGATCATTAAAGCATTGGGACCTAAAGGTGTATGTCTATTTTTAAAAGAAATTTTCTGATTGCAGATAACTTCTCAATTTGATTTAGTGTCGAACGATAGTGATGGGGTTGATAAGTGAGCATTCATCGGTAATTCATCTTGTGCTGGTAGAAATTTACAGCAAAGCAGTGCTTTCCCAACAGTGACAAGCCCTATTAATCTTCTTCAGACACATTTCAATAGGTGTTCCCATCTGCGGCCAACATCTAAACACTCTGGCATCACTGGTGACTTGAAGACACCTTCATTTCAAGTTACACTAGTGAAAATGTGATACTAGATTGTACTCTTATTTTTTAGCCTAATTCTCCCTCTTCATTCAATTAGCCTTTCTTGCCTGAATTTTCTGCTCATGTGTAACATTTCCCAGGGAGAGCTCTCAAAGATTTGGTTTCTCAGAGATGCCCAATGTCCCCAAGGTTAGCAACTAACAACTTTTTTACAAATTAAAATTTGCATAGATTCCAGTTCTGACAGTCATTGGTCTCTGATTGTATATGTCTTTAGAAAGTAGAATCTGCTCGAATAAAGCCTGCCTGTGCATTGAGAGAGCTGAGGAAAAGGGGAAGGCTATAAAATCCATTTGTGTTCATATTCAAAATGCAATTTATTATTCTGAATCATGATGTTAAATTTCAGTATGGGGGATACTGGGGAAAGGAGAGGCAATTAGGAGAAGAGGGTGGTGAAAAGAAGCCCAGTGTTCAAACAGTCACTTTTCCCAATATATTCAGTCCATTGGATGAGATTCCTCTCCTGTCCTTTTGTATCCAATGGAGGAACGCTTGTTAGGGAGGGAAATAAAATAATCAGTTTAGGAATAGATTATTTCACTTATATTGCCTTTATTCTACCAGCAGCATGATCAAGCTGGCTGTAAGTTGAGTGTAGGTGAAAAAATATGGAGGGGGTATTTGATTTTGGATTGAACCTAAGTGCTTTTTTGTGGCATTTTCAACCTCATAATGGGTTTGGTCTTGCAAAGAAATTGGATTTGAACAGTATTTTTCCTGTGCACTTTAGAAATCTTTCAAAAGAGAACTCTCTGACACATTCTCATTTTGGAAGGGTTAGATACATCTGCATATGGATGGAATTTTTTTTAACTTCACTGAACATTTTTTTGTCATATGTGATCTGAAAAAACATATATACATACACACACACACACACACACACATATATAGGCACTCTCTGTGTGTGCATGAGCACTTACATGCGTTACTGTGTGTGTGTGCATATATACGTTAAAGATTTGCATTCTCAAAAATGTTTCTTTCCTTCACACAATTTTTCACAATGATCATTTGAGTTTGTTATAGATCTCAATAACCTTATTGTAGGCAGCAAGTTTAAATGTACCATATTAATAACTTGTTATCCAAGACAAATTAAGTCCTTATGTGTCAAAAGCACTCGGCACTGGATTATCTACAAGACAAGTATTTATTGAATAAATGTTGAGTCCAATTTCATTTTAATGTGACTGACTGTATGTTTCAGCCTCTTAGACAGAGATAAAAACACTCAGACCTATAACTGTGTTGCAACATTACACCTAACTTGTCTATTTCTATTATTGTCTCTTAACTTAGAATATGGAAAGAAGGTCTTTTTTCTTTTCTTTTTTTTTTTTTTTTGGGGGTTGTTGTTCTGAAGGGTAAGGGGAGAGATAGAAAAACGGCTGGCATTCAGCCTAAAGAGAAATCATTGAAACAAATTAATCCTATGCCGTTTAAATTGACATGGTAATCCATCATCAGAGAAGGCGAACTCTGAAAGCAATCTAGAATCTGCCCTGCTCTTTCACTGGCCCTGGAGGCACAAAGACAGATAGTAAAGGAAGGAGGGGGGAAATCATAAAAGTTAGGAATGCCTTAGAAAAGAATAAAATGGCTTATATCAGTTCTCACTGTCTTGCCTCTGCAACCCTCCTTTGGAAAGGAGAGGTTAACTTTCAACAGTTGCTTTCCCAAGTTTAACTCAAAGTGGTAGGTCTCTGGAGTTGAACTCCAAAAGTCTGCCTCCTTCCCCAGGCTGCCAAGCTCCTGGCTCCAGTCTAACCATTGCCTGCCGTGTTTAAAAAGTTGACCAACTGGGAGCTTTGGCAGGACCCACGGTTACACAGAAACTTTCCCAAAGTGGTAAGGGGCTTCTTTTGTGGGGTTTAGGATTTAGGTTTGTTTTTGTTTTGTTTTGTTTGTTGTTGTTTTGGGATTTTTGGTGGGGGAGAGTGGAAGGGAATATTTTTCTTTCTTTTTTTTTTTTTCTCCTATAATCATTTCAGTTTGTACTAGATGGAAAAGCATGTTACTATAATTTTTAAAAGAAGTCTTTTGTAATGTCCCTAAAAACTGAGGCAATTCAACATGCCTTATCATTTTTCTGTCTTTTATTTTGGACGCTTATTTTTCAAATCTCCCTTCACTTTAGAAAGCCTGCAATGATGTGTTGTTAAAACTTGCTTTAAGATTCAAAAATTACATATAAAACTGAAACGTCTCACCTTAGTAGATAGTTAAGATGAAAAAAACCCTTAAGAGTTCCCTTGTAAATACAATGTGTCTGTATGTCCAACACACTAAATCCTAAGAATTGTTTTTCTCTTTAGCTAACATATGTAATTTTTTGTTTGTTTGAAGGAGGAGGGGGCATTTTGCACAATGGCACCTCCTTATTATTGTCTAGACATACAAATTTGAACACAAAAGTGAATATTATTTTTCAACTTAATAATGCATTCTGCTACAAAGGCAAAACACTTTGAATTTTTTTTAATTTCAAAAATTCACTCTGTTAGCAAATAAAGCATATGAAGACAAAAACCCAAATACCTTAGTACCAAAGGCAAGAAGGCAGAATAACATAAATATAAACCATATCCAACAGCTGCCCTATTTTAATTTATTTGGGATACAGTTTCTTCTAGTTTATTAAGAAAACTTTGTATGCTATTGAAACTTCAGAATAAACATCGCACCTCTTTTCTATAGTAAGGATTTTTATTTACTGGCTTTTAAAAGGGAGTGGATAATTCTTGCATACTGACTAATGCTTTTTAAAGTACATAAGCATAAAAGACAAATTAAGAGCATTTGTAGGTAAACAGGAAAAGAGAGTTAAAGGTTCTTATATTAAATATTCATCCACAGCCATGCAAGTTGAAGTTTTAAGAGTTGTTAGGAAAGAAGAACAGGTTTAGGTGTTTGTTTTTAAGAGAACCTGGGGGACTGAAATAGCAGCTCTTCAGTAACTGAACAACCAATTGCACTTTCTGAAAAAGATCTGATGCCTTTGAATTTGATTTAAATGTATGTACAATGTAGACTTTAGCAAATAATTTAAAAAGCCATTAAATTAACCAAAATCACATGAAAAGAAAATCAATGAGTAAATAAGCATAAGTTTTTATTGCTCAGAGAAGACTATGAAGAAAAATATCTTTTAAAAACCCCCATTGCTTAAATTTTACAATCCTAGCTTTTAAAAATTACTTGGTAATGTGGCAACAAAGTACAAGTAAAATGAAAACTTGAATCATATCTCTAGAAGTAAATACATACATTATTAACATGCATTCTGCAAAGAAATGGCATTCCCTAATTTTTTAACTTCTTCTTTCTAACATGTGATGTGATGTGGTCCTGTCAAAAAAAAAAAAAAAACAATGTGACATTTTTCACTGAAGTCAATATTCTCTTCCTTTAATGTTTTCAGTGTTATTTAACTATTTAAAGTGACATCACCTCAATCAATTTACCTCGGTCAAGTACACAAGAATTTCTTGAATGAGGTTGATTGATTTATTTTTAAAAATTTAATAGATAGATAGGAAAAATAGTTTTCTTTACCCTGTATTCAAAATAAAAAGACCAGTGTAAATTTTATCGAAATGATACACTTTCTACATTCTCAAGCTAGTACTTCTATGGCCAAGAAGCTGAATATGATGTTAAGTAGCCATTTTCTAATTCTGTACAAAAGTTATATATTTATTTTTAACATGTACCTTCAACATTTCAAGAAATCAGCATTTTAAAAGGAAAAATGAGGTTGGTAATGTAATTAATTAAATGTTTTCTAAATTCATGCATAATATTTCTCTATAATGGCAGTGTGTCTGTCTCCATCTACTTGCTTCTCTAATTATATGCTTTATATTGTAACTGTTAGGGGGGGGAAAGCCTTCTAAAAACCTGTAGAACAGAAATTCCTCCTTAAATTATTTTTCTCCTGAAATTTACCTTGAGTTTGTGGTTAAAGGAAATCAAATCAAATAAATTCTCTTTGTTGTTCTGCTTGTAGTTTAAGTACACAGATGCAGCTAATTAACAATATTAATTTATCTGGATATTTGTCTTTCTAACACCTTCACTTTTAAATGACTGGCACTTGATATTATTTGATTAATGCTTTTTTGTTGTTGTTGTTGTTGTTGTTGTACCAAAAATTCGGAGTCATTTTAGAGATTTTATTAGCAGGTTCTTGAGGAAGAGAAAAATATAAAATCAAACAATCATTCTAACTCTGTCCACTTCTAAATAAGAACTGATGTCCACATGGCTTTAGATGTATTTAGAACTTTCTTAGCAGGAGGTGCCGTGCAATATAATATTAATAATAAAAGCATGTATATCCCACATCAGGCTTGGTTATATGGGCAGAGAGTCCCCTTATGCCATTATCCCTAGCTAGAGTCTATTCTCCTTTAATTCTTCAGTCCATTGAAAAGTAAAATGGAGTAGCATATCCCTGAATTTT